CCCAGAGGAAAAAAAAAAAAAAAAAAAAAAAAAAAAAAGGGTGCCTTACCTGGACCTCCTCCATCCCTGGGTGTCCGATGCCATGCAGAGAAAGGCTGTCCCCCATGCCGGAGTCAAGGCCATGGTGAGCTGAATGTAGAAGGACATCTGGCCTCCTTACTGAGTGGTAGTCCCGCCTGGGGTCCAGTCCCGAGAGCTGGGGCAGGGCGGCCCGAGGCTGTGGCAGCAGTGACCCGGTTTCTGATCCCACCTCTTGCCTCTGCCTCTGTCCCCAGGGGTGCTGCTGGGGTTGATGTAAAGGGTTTAGGGAGTAGGGGTCATTGACATGGGAGTAAGGGTCCTGGCTTTGGTGGTAAGGAAGAGGCTGGTAGGGGGGGGGGAAATTAAATCCGAGGATGGGGTGTGAGAGAGCGGAGGAGCGCTGGAGTAGGGTCCCTGGGAGACGGATCCCAACTGGGACAGCCTGGAACTGTGGCTGGGCACTCCATCATGCCGGTCCTACAAGCAGAATAAAATAAAAAACACAACAACAAAAAGAGAGGACCTTTTAGAAAAGAAAAAGTAAAAGGGCAGAACAAACCCACCCCGAAAGAAAATGAAATAAAAATTTAAACGGTGGTAAACTAGTGTTCAGATGTACCCCCCTCCCTGGTCGAGGAATAGAAATGTTCCCGTGTTTCACACCCAGATAGTGTCTATTCCCAATATCTATCAAGAAGAGGGAAGGGAGGGTGTGTGTGAGGGAGAAAAGCTAAATGTCATAATTAAAAATGTAGGACTGGTATTCCGTATGCCTGTATGTCTGTGACTTCAGTCCAGTAACACGATTCCCCCTCCAGCAGCCCCCCAAATAAAACCAAAGGTTAAATAATTTAAAAAAAGGAACCCCCATACCACCCATCCTTCCAAAACAACCCACCCCTTGCCCTGCCTAGAGTTTCCAAAGATCTGTTTATTCCCTCTGCTGAAGTCCTGAAACTCAAAATAACCAGCCCATCTTCAGGTGGAAAAAGACCAAAAAGGAAAGTTGTACTTCTCGGAGGACTCCGAGGTAAGAAGGTGTCCGAGAGCGGACTTGTAAAAA